AAAGGGGATGCTATAGGATAATAGGAAAACCTATTAGGAAATTCTTTCAGTGGTCCCTGTAGTGCTAATGAGCAACTGTATTATGGCAGTAATAGTGGGAATAGAGACGAGAGAATGGATAGGGAGAGAGATATGCTGGGAGAGGTCATGGAGGTGGAATCGGCAGAGATTTGTAGCTGATTGGATACAAGTAGTGAGGGAAAGGAAGAGCCAAAAGTGCTACCAAGGTTAAAAACATGGGAGACTGAGTAGATGTCAGTACCACACACAGAAATGGTGAAATGGGAGAAAGAGCAGATTAACTCAGGAAGATGATAAGACATGATAAGTTTGAGGGGCCGGGTGGAGACGACCTGTAGGCAGTTGGAGATGTGAGTCCTAAGCTTAAATGACAGATAAAGACTAGAGCTACAAATTTGGGTGCCATTTTACAAAGGGGATCACTGAAGTTACATATACAAGAGCACACCAGGAGGACAATGGCAGATGAGTGTAGAAAGGTGCATAGTAGTTGTCTTCTTTGTTTTACAACATCTCTTGCATCCACCCCTTTCTTTTAACTTATAGGATCATACTCCCTTTTTCTAAACTCTCATGACCTCATACCTGGACTGCTGAAATAGCCTCCTAACTGGTCCCCTTTCCACTCTTTCCCTTCCTTCCTCTGCCTAGCCACAAAGATAAGGGGTAGATTTGGCCACATCATGAACCCCTGCCCAAAGATCACTCCACCTTCCACTCTACCTCTGGAGTCAAAGCACCTGGGTTCAAATCCCAACTCTGACAGAGACTACCAGTATAACTTAGGGCACATCATTGAACCTCTCTGGGCCTCATTTGTAGGATAGAGGTTGGATGAGATGACCTCCAAGTTCTCTTTTAGCCCCATACCTGTGCTCTTGTGAGCCCATAAACCAATCTGGACCTCATTTTCCTCATTTATAAAACAAAGAAGTCTGAACTGCTGATGGCCCCTGATGTTTCTTCCCCCTCAAGACTGATGATTCAGTGATCTTCGTTTAAGCTAAGGTGAAACCTCCTATATGAGGCCTTTCCCATTTTCCCATTCCTTGAAAGCAGGAACTTAGCATAGTACTTTGAACACAGAAAATGCATTGTAAATATTTTTTTCCCATTCATTTAATCAAATGCTTGTTGAATTGCCAAGTAGTTTCTTCTACCTCAGCTGGATACTTGACCTGTCATACATTTAGAACTGGAAGGGACCTGAGAGGAGTTCCATCCCATCTAGCTCCTTCACAAAAGGCAATCAGAGGCGGCCTTACTACCAGTAAATGGCAGAATTGGGCTTTGAACCCACCCCAACCCCCCTGCAGTCCTCAGACCCCAGATACACTCCTCCCACTGTACCTGGCAAGCTGGCTCTAGCTGCCCCCCCTTCTAAGTGCTGCAGACACTGAAAAGCTGGTTCCTGTAGACTTGACCTTTATCTTAAACAGCAATTTTCATTTCTCCCCAGGTTGTTTTTGAGAGACTTTTCCTTTTTCATTTTAAAACCTTGTAAATGTTTTCAGTGAGGGGATATTGACAAACCAGGTATGAGTGGCAGTAGTTGACCTTTGGGATGGAAAGATTAGGTAAAAAGGCATCAGAAGGATCGCTCATCCCGGAGGCAATTCTGTGTTCTCAAGGGAAGAATGGAGATTGCTGGAGTGCAAAGTTGGTTACCTCCACTATGGGTTCCCAGATGCCTTTGCTCTGTAATTCTAGGATGAAATCACACAGCTCTCCTTCCATGGGGCTCTGACAGGCTGGGGTTTGGATAGGGAGGGCAGTGGGCTCTCAGGAACCTGAGACAGTGTCCTGGTGCCTCTATCTCAGAGAATATTGATAACCCCAACTGGAGGGGTCCTCACCTCCATTTGCCAGCTTTCCTAATTGGGAGAATAATCAGAGAGCTTTGGAACTGGGGAATGGAGGAGTGGTCCCACCTGTTTCCACTTCATTCCAATCCTGAAATAATTCTCCTGCTTTAAGAAGCTTTGAAGCAGATTAACTTTTAAAGGGCAGGGAGGATAGTGTTGAATTGTTGGCTCCAGAGGAGAAACTCTGGGACCGGAGCTCTAGGAAACCACTAGCCAGAAAGAATATCCCTGGGGCCGGCCTGCCAATCCCTTCTCTCTGCTTGGTGACAAGGAAAGCTGTGCCTGCAGTAACCCAGCTTTGGACACAGCAATATCAGCATTCAGTTGACCCTGGTCTTAATTCTGGATTCTTTGCTATGACTCCTTAACTTGGTTTGGTTCTAGCCTCTGCTGAAAAGAGAAAAGTTAAATTGGTAAAATTATGAAATGTGGGCTTAAAATTCTACCACCACCACCACCACCAATACCACCACTACTACTACAACCACCACCACTACTACTGCCACTACTACTACTACTACCACCACCACTACCGCTGCTTCTGCAGCATCCCAATATTTTTATTCATTTACACAAAGCATTCATATTATCTAACTGGAGAAGAATCCACAGAATAGTAAATATAAAGGAAAAATAATAGGATAGCAACATATGTCAGGACCATTTCTTCCACCAGAATTCTTTTAGAAAGGCTAAGAATGACATAACAAGGATTATTAATTAATAAGTATCTAATATTACCATAATGAAAACATAAGACAGAAATCATAGTACTTTATAGTTCCCCAAGGCAGGGATAAAGAAATTAACACACATACCAATTTTCAAAAAGGACCACAGAGGATTGATAGAACTTCTCAGACTACATGATAAGCAGGTTAAAAGTATACTAAAATACTTCCTGAACACACAGACCTCTTTCTGAGTGACAGCAAAGGCTAATAATAGTAGCTATACACCACTGAACTTACTTACCAAATACTACTGCTGTTGCTTTGCTACCTGGTGGAATCTATGAAACATTGAGATCTTATAATGGAATTAAATGTCATACATAGGTCACACACACACAAACTCAGGCCTACAAAGAAGAATCAAACGTGTCACTGAGTCAAATGGATTTATTTCCACAAATTTAAATCACAGAAATCTGAATTTGTAGAAAGTTCATCCTCAAGGAGCCTGGATTTATAGATTTATATAGATTTTGCAAAGAAACCATAAAAGGTATACAAGCAATCATTACGTATGCAAAAATTTAGCACTTGCTGAATAGTTAGAAAGCTACGATTAAGTAACCAGAAATATACATCAAATGTTTGCTACTATTCATAAATAGAAAACAAATCCTCATATTCGAAATGCAAGCCCTCAACTCTCCTTGCAAATTCAGCAAACATATTGTACTGGAACTGAGACATTATCACAGACAAAACTGTTCCCCACAATTGCCGGGATATAACATTGACCTACAAAAACTTAAGAATAATGTCATTTAATAGATATCATCACACCAAACATGAATAACCTCTGAACAGCTTGGGACAAAGGGCTCTCAAACTATAGAGACCTAACGGAAGAAATCCAAACCTGGTGTATATCATACCTATTGTCCCATCTGCCACTGGAATTGTCTGAATGATGCTTTCAGTGAGCCTACAAAAGATGAACTTAGATGCCTACATTTTCATTCAATTAAAAACCAAATTATTTTTTCCAAATGCACAATAGTTCATCAAACATCAAATATAAAAGACAATAGTAGCTGAGTGACCTTGTCCTTTAATCATTTCTATCTGAACTCCACTCAACATAATGATGAGAAGAGCGAATTGATAAAAGAGTGGACTTGACATGATATTTGTGGAGGTGTGACTGGGACATAATTGTTCTGGGAAAGGGTAGGCAAGGAAAGCTTTGATTCTATCCAGTCTGCATTTATAATACTTTGGAAGTGGAAGGAAATTTCGTATGGGTGGAGAAACTGAGGCTTAGACAAAGTGAGTGTCCAAAGGCACACACTGTATTATTGCCAGAGAGGCATGTTGCAGTACAAGTGGCATTAAAAAGAATTTGGGAGACCTGATTCTGAGTCCTGGCTTCAGTTGACCTTGGGTGAATTATGGGTTGTGGATTGTGGAATTTCTAACTTGAAATGACTTATGAGGTCACCTAGTCCAACCTACTCCCTTAAAGATGAGGAATCTCATAGAAATTGTCTGAATTTCATTCTTCTCATAAAATGAGAATAATCCCTTACAGTGTCTCTTTGAAGGTGTTGCTTTATAGCACTATAAATATGTTTGTCCATTGTTACTTTTCAAATTATGATGTGATGGAAAGAACAAGCAATGAATCAGTCGACATGCATTTGGGTTGGTTTTTTTTTTTAGTTTTTTAAACTTGCTTTATTTTTTTAAAAAAAATTTATTGTATTTTTAATTTATGGAATAAAACAAGCATTTCCATAACGTAGCATGATAAAAAAAAATGATTGCACATGAAACTGCATTTGTTAAGTGCTTACTCTGTGCCAAGCATGAACTAAGAATCAGAGATACAAAGAAAGGCAAAAGCAATCCCTGCCCTCAAGGAGCTTACATTCTAGAAAACACACACACACACACCACACACACACACACACACACACACACACAGGTACATACAAGATATATACAGAGTAGAAGAGAGGAAACCTTAAAAGGGAAGGTAGCAGTAGCCCAGGGGAAGAGCTGAGTTAAAAATTTCTGTGTTCCCTACAAGCTGCCAAAATAACCTTCTTAAGGCACATGCTGATCATGTCATCTCCCTACTCAAAACATTTCCACAGCATTCCATTACCTTTAGGATCAATTCCACATAGTTCAGCCTTGTGTAGCTCCTCCTGGGGCCTCCTTACATGTGCCCCCAAATGTTACCCCAGGTTTTGAGGTCCATTGTGGGTATAGGTCAGCATTCACTCAAAACCATAGCTCAGGCACCTCCACCAATGTCTTTCTCCTACCTGCCCACCAAAGCACCAAATATTAATTCACTGGGAAAGATAACGTATTTAGCTGCGCAGCAAGAAATGTGACAAGACCACAATATGCCCTAATATTCACTCTTCTGCAGGTTTCTACAGTACAAGTTAGGGAAGAGATAAACTCAGGGAAGAAATGTGTCCAGAAAATTCTCTTGGAGAGGCACACACTTTGGAAATGTACATCGCCAAGGAATATACACAGGATATGCCCATCTGCCGGCACATGGACAACCAGAGCAACTCCTGCTTCCTCATAGGGTAGGGGCAACTAATACCACCGTGGCTGAGCTGCTGATAGCCTCTGATGATATTGGACCAGTTGCTTTGGCCACGGAGTGAGTATCATATGCGCTGTCCTTCCTACCTCAATGCTCTGTGAAGCTGTACTCTCATGTTTTCTGCTATGTAGCATTATTACCACTGCTGCTTCTACTACTCTGTTTCCCTTGGCTTCCCTTTCGCTACTATATAACCTCTTCCTAAATAGGAAGCAGAGTCTACTAGTTCTTTAGCTTAGTAGCCCAAGGGGCCACGTTTAATTCTTTTGTGATGCACACTATAGCCAGTGCCATTCAGTCAGCACCATTCAACCAGCTAGCTTGCCTTAAATGTCCTTAGGTCTTTCACAGTCTGTCTTTGGAATTATTTTTTTTCTTCTATTTCTTCTGCTTGAGGATTAGACTTTTATTTGAGTGGTTGTCCACAATTCCTCTTAATCTTCTCTTTTTTTTTTCCCTAGGTCATCAGTTGTCTGGGTTGTCTTTCAAATCATTCAAGAAGCTCCACTTAGCAGAACTGAAAGGGAGCCTGGTGGACTTGAGTTTAGGGGATTCCTTTCCATATATAACCAATGATGCATTGTTCACCAGACAAATCAGTGACTGAAAAGGCCCAGGTAAAGCTGATGGAAACTTTGTGCTATGTCTCATTAGGAGTAAAAATGTTTGTGTTCCCTGCACTGGCATTTGAGGCTCCTGCTTACCTTCCCCTTCATGGTTCTGAATACTCCCTTTCACAAAACCCACATTCCAGTCCAACTAGATAATGGAATATGACATTCCATTTCCTTTCTCTTTGTTTTCATGAAGACCATGTCCCTCATACTTCTGCTTCTTAAAATCCTTGTCAGCCTTCAAGGCTGAGCTCAGATATCACCTCCCCTGTGAAGGCTTCTCTGATTCTCAAGTTAGTATTCTTACCCTCTTCAATTATATATAGCATATATATGTATATATATATATATATGTGTGTGTGTGTGTGTGTGTGTATGTACACATATCTGTATGTGTGTGTACATGTGTGTGTGTACATATATATATATATATATGTACACACACATACATATATATGTGTGTGTGTGTTGTCTTATTATAACCCATCCCTCTAGTAGAATGGAAGCTTATGAAGTACGCTATTTTTGTATCCTCAGCACTTTGATCACCTTGTAACTATTTGTTGAATTGAATTGAATTCTTGACCAGAAAAGGCTTCTTCTTTCTTTTTTTTTTTTAATCTTCTCTTTAGCTCATTGGCTTCTCCAGCTAACAGGGCAGTGACAGGTGGCCCTGAGTTATATGGAGAAGCCAGGTACTTTCTTCAACTCTTTTGGGGAATGTAAGCTGCCACATTCCTCTTAATTCTGGATTTGGCCACCCGTGGTAACCTACCTCTTGGATCTGTTGCCAGAGAGGTCTTTGTCAAGGGAGGCATTCCTTTGAAGCTCATTTTCAGAGTATCTGGCAATACTCTGTCTTTAGTAGGTGGGGAATTCCTTAGCATGAACTCCAAGGTTATGGACTTGAGGAATCCTTTTGGTGTAATAAGTTCAGTTTTCTCCTTTTCTCACAAAGATTTTCCAGAATTATTGAAAGGGAAGAGTTGCTTGCATTCCCACTAAGCCCTTCAGTTCAAAATTATTGTGCATCATTTGAAGAAAATTTTTAACAGGCCAAAGCCCAAGCAGCTTTAATGAGATTCTACTATGACCTTCTCTTTGGGGGAAAAAAGAAATGGAAGGGAGGAGGGATTTGGGCACATTGTCAGTTTTAATTCTCACTGATCTTTCTGGGGCTTTTGATTCCACAGATCATGGGTTTGCCTTAAATCACTCATCACCAGCCTGGACCCTTCTGGGCAGGAGTCTACCTAACACTCATTAGCATGCACCTCTGTGGGGCCAGATTGTGGTTGTAAATAAAGGCAACGATTTCTCTTCTGTGAACTCCATACTCCTTCTCCCTTTCCCCTCCATACAGAAAGCTATTGCTGGACCTCAGTCCTTTGAAACCTAGACCCTGAAGTTGATTTACCTTTGTAATATTTATGGAAGAGTCGAAGGGGGGTCAGAAAGAACCCTGGATTTAAAGGGCAGATGGTTGAATCTTAGCTCTTTACTAGCTAGCTTGTGACTTTGGGCAAATTATTTAACCTCTCTGTGCCTCAGTTTCACCACCTGTAAAATGAGGGAGGTGAACTCAATGACCTCTGACATCCCTTCCAGATTGGAATGTACGATCTAGGATTCATGAAGCCCTTTTCAGCTGGGTCCATTTTGCCAAACTTGGGCTGAAAAGGAGTTCACCAAAGGGACAGTGAGCTAGCAGGGCAGTCTTTCACTGTGGTCTTGGGTCAGTTTGGGTCAGAACCAATAACATGGAAAGCTTCTAGGTCAGAGTTCTTTCCCTTCACTATTTAGGATCAATGGCCTTGTTGTTGTTGTTGTTGTTGTTGTTCATTGGAAAAAGATATTTCAAGTTAGATCTGGTCCTACATGGGTTGGTCACGCTTGTGACCAGAGTCTGCATATAAGGCAAGATTCACCGGGGTTGGCTGTATTTAGCCTCGTTTACATAGTTACTTGCATATTATGTGTTCCATTAGGCTATAAGCTTCTTGAGGGCAAGGACTCTGTTTTCCTTTCTTTGTATCCCCAATAGCATACAGTAGGCACTTAATAAATACTTATTGATGGACTGACTACCTGTGATGGAAGTTTGAGGAGCTCCAAAGAAATTTTCTATCATGGGACATCCTTCTCTCTTCCCAGTAAGGTGGCTCTTATAGTATAATCCATCAACAATTCAATAAACACCTACTAGGCTAGGCTCTGTCCTGGACACTGCAGATACAAAGAGAGACAAACATGAAATAGCACTTGCCCTCCAGAAGCTTGCATTTGCCCGGCAGGGGTGGGGACTTGGAGGAGGATACAACATTACAATATCCTCTTCGGGGGAGGATACATAAGACAGGAAATACAAAGCATATTCAAAGTAATTGTGCTGAGAACTTGGAGGATCCCTAAAGGAATGGTGCTCTTACAAGAAAGTTCCCATAAGAAGGATGATATGGGACCTGGTACTGGTCATATATCATAGCTAGGTAGTATGGTGGATATAGTGCTGGACAGAGAATCAGGAAAACATGAGTTCAAATCCTGCCTCAGGTACTTATTAGCTGAATGACCTTGGACAAGTCATTTTACTGCTTTCAGACTCAGTTTCTTCATCTGAAATATAATGATAATAATAACATTATATTAATAATAATATATTATTATCACTATAATAACACCTACCTCCTAGGGTTGTTGCAAGGATGAAATGATGAGATGATATTTATAAAGCACCATATAAATGCTAGTTATTATTAGCTAGTATGGATAAGTGCTTATTGACTTGTTGATCTGAGCAAATGTCAGATGAAGGGTTCCAATTTTGTCTTGTCTGACTCCAAGTTCAATATTCTTTCCACTACACTATGTTGCCTCCTGTGCTGCTAGAGATAGAGTCAGAAGACCAGGGCTCGAATCCTGGCTCCAAATATCTAATAACTTTGTAAATTTGAGCAAGTCATCTTATTTCTTTGGACCTGCCTCAGATTTCTCATTTGTAAAATAGGGATAAGAATATTTGTGCTTCCTGATTCACAGAGCTGTGATATACACTTTCATGTACTAAAAAAGAAGTGAGTTTACTGTAATAATAATCATTGCTACTCCTTCTCCTGCTATTACTCCTATTACTACTGCTGCTGCTGCTGCTACTACTACTACTACTACTTATTACTCTTCCTTCTCTTCCTCCTCTTCCTAGCAACAGGAGTAAATGTGTTTCTTAACCTGGCTTCTCTTCACCACTTCAGTGTATAGGATGCTATGAGATTTCCCCTACAACTTTGCCCCAGAAAGAATGCTATAGAATATTGAAATAAAACTAAATCACTTTCACTTTTCCCTTCTCTGAGTTGCCATAAGCAAAGACATGTAAGTTGCCAGGTGTCCCTGATTAAGACTTTATAAATGAAAGCTCTTAACATGGATGGCACTCAGGAACCAGATTCTCTCTTCAACAATGTCCTCTCAAGTCTTGGGGACATTGTTTCCAAACACCCACTGCTGGGAGGCCAGATGGGGAGTAGTAGTTCTGAAGACACAGCTCATTCTGTCTCCTTGGTTTCTGCTTAAGCATGAAGCATATGCATGTGAATGGACACACACACACACACACACACACACACACATACACAGAGTCCTTTTACTATTTGCTATTCTTTCACAATGGAAATGTTTTCGCAGAGATAAAATGAGGTTGAGTTGCCCATATTCAGTAATTAAAATTTCAAAAGATCATAGATTTAAAATTGGAAGAGACCGTAGATAGAGACTGTCAAGTCTGAATAATTTGTTTTACAGGTGGAGAAACCATGACTCAGAGAGGTTTTAAGTGACTTGAGTTAGGTAGTAAAAGGCAAAGCCAGGTGTGGAACCCAAGTCCTTTGACTACAAATCTAGTGTTCTTTCCATTGTACTATGGACATGGAGCAGATAGACTTATTTCATTGAATGCCCTGGCTCTACTTCGGAGGTAAAATTTGGCTTTTGATGCTCTAGTTATAGCCAGGGAGGCATTTAGGTACACCCTGGACTGGTTAATTTGAAGCCAAGATTTGATGTGAGCCCTGATTCCAGCATATTGGCTTTGCAATCTCAGACAAACCTTAACCTCTCTGAGACACACTTTCTCCATTTGTAAAATAAAGGCGTCACACCGTATGACCTCTAGTATTCCTTCCAATTCCCATCTTCTGATCCCAGGGAGAAGGAACGGATCTGTGATCTCACTGGTATAGGAACTCTCAGATGAAAAACATTTTAAAGTCTCTTCTTGGGGCTGCATCTGTACCTCCTCCCCTCCTGAGCCTTGGGTTCTATCCCTTGAACCCATGCTGCTTTTTTTGGCTTTCTCTTGCCCGTGTCCAGAACACCACATCTCTTCTCAGCCGCTTCCATACCACCCTTCCAAGTGTGTGCCCCTCCCTCTCCCTGCTTTCTAGCCCCCCTCTTTTTGTTGTCTCCCCCCCCCCCATTGTATTGTAAGATCCTTGAGGGCAGAGAATGTCTGTGCCTCTGTGTATGTATCCCTGGTTTTTTAGCGCAGTGCACATAGCGCAGGGCAGCTAGGTGGCACCATAGTGCATAGAGCCCTGGGCCAGGCGTCAGGAAGACTCAACTTCCTGAGTTGATATCTGGCCTCAGACACTAGCTATATGATGCTGGGAAAGTCACTTAACCCTGTTTGCCTCATTTTCGTCATCTATAAAATGAGCTGGAGAAGGAAATGGCAAACCACTCCAGTATCTTTGCCAAAAAAAACCCCAAATGGGGTCACAAAGAGTCAGACATGACTAAACAATGACAATAACATAAAATATAAATATTATAAAATAACGAACAATAAAGCAACACATAGTACATGCTTAATAAATGCTCTCTCTCGCTCTCTCTTTCTCTCTCTTTTTTTTTCTCTGTCTGTCTCTACCAATGCATGTATGGCAACTTCTCTGAAATTTATAGTCTTACAGAGTGTTCTGGACCCCTGAAAAGGCCAGTTAAGTGACTTGCCCAGGGTCACAAAATCATTGTCTATCAATAGCAGGACTTTAGACTAAGTCATCGCGGCTTTGAGGGAAACTCCTCATCTACAATGCCCCACTGCCTATCCTGTAATCCTATAACTATAAACTGGGGAGGATGATGCTTGCAAAATTGACCTTGGGTTTTTGTGAAGAAAGTGCTTTGTAAAACACTCTTTATGTATGCTAGACTGAACCTCTTCCCCAAGAGTAAAGAGGGAGATCATTTGAGACAACTATAATAACTGATAAATATCTGTGATTACAGCTCTTGATG